AGTCCTGTAGATGGCAATATAACCCTATGGTCAAGATTTAGAAGAGCGGTGTCCATTAATGAACATATGAGGAGAGATTTACATGCTATTAGTTAAAGAATAGGTTTGTTTATAAAAACCCCCTAGTTCAGATGGCGTCCGTGAGCTTCCCGATTACACCTGGGCATACCCAAAATGCGTAAAAGTGGAGTTTAGGACATCAATGTCACTTCCAGTTTCGTCATATCCTTCTCACGGAGTGGACGCTGGTTCCAGTAGCTCAGAACAGTGGCAACAGGGTACATTGAATGTGCGCTGGACATAAGAGGTGCCAGGGTGCACCTATTAACGCGACTGTAGTTTAATTTATTTATTCTTCCTTTTTATTCACATTTGGGTTGATTTAAGAAACATGTTGCGCAATGATGCCTGTAAACAAAAAATGGTGCAGAGCTACAAATAATAAATCAAAAACTTTTTTTTCACTTTGGGTAGAGTAAGGGAGCATTATAACCCCTGCCTGTTTATTTTTTTCCCATCTGTGTCCCATTAGGGAAATTTACCTTCACTTCCTGTCCCATACCCAAAACAGAGAGTGAAAATCCCTGCAAATTAAGGGAATTCCATGAGGCCCCCCAGGTCACCTGAACTACTGTCCCCCATTGGAAAATTTCCCCTATATTACTTTTCTGGGGAAAACCCAAAATGTTGGGTTTTCTTTTACTTTCATTTTCAATGATAATGGTAAACAGGTCAAATAGAGAGGCTGAATTGATCTAATAGGGGCACAGACAACAATAAATATCTGATAGGGTTCTAAAACGACTGCTCTACACTAATGAGGTCAAACAAGCGCTGAAAGGGGCTAGGGCTCAAACCTTCGATGAACCATAGAATATGGACGGCTGCTGGCAGGTATCACAAAGAGCTCTCCTCATAATGGCTGATAGCACATCCAAAGCATAAAATGGGAAACAAATAGTGGTCTCTGTATATACTCAATCATAAAGTTAAAGTGATGTAAAGGCTCAAGTTTTTTTACCTTAATACATTCTATGCATGAAGGTAAAAAACAGTCTGTGTGTAGAAGCCCCCAGCCCCCCTTATACTTACCTGAGCCCCATCACACTCCAGTGATGTCAACGAGAACATCAGCTGTCCCAGCTCTCTACCTTTTCATTGGCTGAGACCACAGAGGGAGCCATTGGCTGAATGGACACAAAGAGCAATGGCTCCAGAGCACGCATGCTCGGGTGCCCCCATAGCAAGCTACTTGCTATGGTAGCACTCAACAGGAAGGAGGAGCCAGGAGCATCAGCAGGGGACCAAAAAGAGGAGAATATAGGCTGTTCTGTGCAAAACCACTGCACAGAGCAGGTAAGTATGACATGTTTGTTATTTAAAAAAAAAAAACCAAAAAACTGAACCTTTAGTATTGCTTTAACAGATAGCATGAAAACACTCACATTAAGTGAAAGCATCACCGGTGCCAAAACCATGCTTCAAGATGTGATCCTTATCCCCAAATGTCCCCTAGCATGCAGACACCACATGCAAAAATGGATTCTCACCTCCTTCAAGACCTCCCAATCACAAGTCTATAAGCTTGGGCCCTATACCCTCAAAGACCAGTGGTGCTTGGGCAAATGATGACAAATATCACATCACTCCTTCCTCAAAACAGTTCATTGCATTAGTGAATCATAAAATTGAGGACAAATAGTGCTCTCTGTATATACTCAATTTAATAAACATATGGCATAAAGACAAAAACATTCACATAAAACTAAAGCTCAAACAGCACATCGAAATAACATCACAGATCTGGACATCTCATGGCCCAACCAGAAATGGCATCATGAATGTGGCTCTCTTCTCTACTGATTAAGCCTGTTCTTGGGCTCTTAACTATTAAGGGAAGAGAGCCACATTCTCCTTTGAGGAAGGAATGATGTGCTGTCATTTGCTCAAGCACCACTGGTATATGAGGTATAGAACCCAGCAGGAAACACCGTAAAATGCTTACAGACCACATGTGATTGGGAGGTCTTGGAAGGAGGCGAGAGTCCATTTTTGCACGTGGTGTCTGCTTGTTTGGGAACATTTGAGGGATAAAGATCCCATCTTTGAGAATTTTTTTGGCACTTGTGCTTTTAACTGAACATGTTTTCATGCGATCACTTATGAATGAGTATATAGAGAGCACTATTTGTTTCCCATTTTATTTTTGCAAGTGCCATCAGCCATTATGGGTAGAGAGCTTTTGTGATACAATGCCAACATCTGTCCATATGCTACGGGTCATCATGGGTTTGGGCCCCAGAAAGAGATATCTTTGAGTGCTTGTTTGACCTCATTTGTACAGAGAGATCATTTAGGGAGGTGAGCGACCATATGCACATAGGTTATTTGCATGCAAGGCAATACTCAAGAAGATAATCTGTTTCTTTACAACATATTATTTGAAGCAGTGATTAATGGACACATTGATGAACATTTTTAATTATTTGTTGTGCTGCACCATTTTGTTAGGTGAGCATGGGCAGGGGCATGCTTCTGAGGAAACCAGTAGGGCAGAGATGGAGCACAAGCCACTACGCATATGTAATCCAGCTGTAGCCATTGTAATTTGTAGGCCAAACTTAAAGGTGAGCAGATGGAGTATCTTGAGCACTGGAAAGTGATTGTTAAATGCACTAATTTGGACATTCTGTGATTTGGGAGTTGGACCTTTATAGGAGTGTGGATTTATCTTGTATGGAATTACTGGAGGATTTTTTAAATGTCATTTATATGTCTGGATGAGGAGTTTGTGCACTACACATTCTTGGTTTATATATGTTTCAAGTGAGAGTACACTTAGTCAGTGGGTGCAGCAATCTTCCTTTGTTTTTTTTTTTTTTTTTTAAAAAAACTATTTTCTCATTTCGATCATAAAAAAATATCCAAAAAAACTAAAATTTCATCATAAATTTAGACCAAAGTGTATTCTGCTATGTTTTTGGTTAAAAAAATCCCAATAAGTGTATATGGATTGCTTTGTGTGAAAGTTATAGCATCTACAACTATGGCATAGATAATGGAATTTACACAGCTTTTACTTTGACTGCTTATCACATTTCTTGAGGTGCTAAAATATCAGGATAGTACAAACACCCCAAAATGACCCATTTTCGGAAAGTAGACACCCTAAGCTACCTGTTGAGAGGCATAGTGAGTCCATGGAAGATTTATTTCTTTTCCACAAGTTTCTGGAAAATGACAACAAATGTTTTTTGTTAACACAAAGTTGTCATTTAAATTATATATTTCTCGCACAAGCCATGGGTATATGTGGAATTACACCCCAAAATACATTCTGATACTTCTACCGAGTATAGGGATACCACGTGTGAGACTTTTTGGGAGCCTAGCCACATACAGGAGCCTGAAATCCATTGATCACTGTGAAAGCCTGAAGGAGCGTAACTTCCTCACTACCGATCACAGTTTTGAAGGCCCTGAAATGCCAGGGTAGCACGAAACCCCTTTTTGGAAAGTTGACACCCCAAGGAATTTAAAAAGAGGCATGGTGAGTATTTTGCAGATCTCATTTTTTGTCACAAGGTTTTGAAATCTAAAAAAAAAGAAAAAATGTTTTTGTTTTTTTTTCTTCATTTTCCAAAAACTAGTGGCAACAAACGAGATCTGCAAAATACTTACCATGCTTCTCAAATTCCTTGGGGTGCCTACTTTCCAAAAAGGGGTAATTTGGGGAGGTTTGGTGCTATCCTGGCATTTCAGGGCCTCCAAAACTGAGATCGGTAGTCAGGAAGTGTAATGAGGAAATAAAGCCCTTTAAAAGCCTGAAGGTGCTTATTTGATTTTGGGGTCCTGTACTTGGCTAGACTGCCAAAACGTCTCTCCCATGTGGTACCCCCATACTCGGGAGCAGAATGTATTTTGGGGAGTAATTCCACATTGTGTAGTAAAAAAAAAAAAAATGTTTTTGTCATTTTCCAAAAACTTGTGGTAGAAAAAAACAATTTCTTCTATTGATTCAACATGCCTCTCAGCAAATAGTTTGGGGCGTCTACTTTCCAAAAAAGGGTCGTTTTGGGGGGGGGGCCATTTTATGTCCAGCATTAGAAGTTTATGCCACATATCACTCACTCTTCTAACCACTGAAGATCAAGCCTTTTCTGACACACTTTAATTTCCTAGCAAAAAATACAGATTTTTTTTTCATGTGAACAATTTAAACCCCAAAACATTATATATTTTTTAAAGCAGACACCCTAGGGGAAAAAATGGTGGGTGCTACAATTTTTTATGTCACATAGTTCTCGCGCAACGATTTTTCAAAAGCAAATTTAAAAAAAAAAAAAAAACACTTTTTTTTACTTTAAATGCACAAAAACACAATATATTGGGCAATTATTTTGATAAAATATAAAAGACGATGGTATGCCGAGCAAATAGATACCAAACATGACATGCTTTAAAAATGCGCATGCCCCGTGCAATAGCGACAAACTGAATACGTTTTTAAATATCCATAGGCAACGTTTTAAAAGCCTTTACAAGCTACCATTTTAGATGTACAGAGGTCTAGTGTTAGAATTACTGCCCTTGATCTGATGTTCACGGCGTGCCTCACATGCATGTTGTAACCTCTGTTTACATACCGGCACAGGGTCAACGCTCACACACACAGGTGTGGGTGCGTGGGGTGGTGGGGGGGGGCGAGGGTTTTTTTTTTTTTTAAGTTATTTTTTTAATTTTTGTCATTATTTTTACACTGTCTTTAATTTTTTTTTTTAGCACTTTTAATTCTAATTCTATTACAGGGGATGCAAATATCCCCTATAACTTCAATGGGCATTGTCATATATTCTTTTTTGAGAAATCTGGGGTCTATCAGACTCTAGATATCTCCTCTGCCCTTACATTATCTAATCAAACCAAGATCGGTGTGTGATCAGATGCTTTCCTAATTTACAAATGGCGCTGTTTATATCCTGTGAAACTGAAGTGATGAAATGCTCGTAGCTTCCGATTTCTTAGACTATAGAGATGATTGGCACCATTCTGGCCTCCAATCAGCTCTATGGTCAGCTGGTAGAAACACCAGCTGCATTCTCAGGTTCCCCAGATGGCACGGGACTGCCCGAGAAAACTGTGGAAGGCAGCGGGGGGAGGGCATCATCTCCTGCTGCTTTTAAAAGTAATCTTGCCGCTTATTAGCCACTAGGATTGCTTTTACATGAAAGCTGATTGTCGGCTGAAAAAAATTATGCAGCTGTAGGCATCATCCTGGTATAACCATTCAAAGTCCAAGGATGTACCAGTACGTCGCTGATCCTTGTTGGGTATATATGCTATGTTCTTTGGATGAATGAAAAAAAGAGAAGAAATTTCTGCCAGAAAAAGTGTGTGGTATGCCCACCATTAGAATATACTGCCCTGAATCCACCCACTTCTAATGGTGGGCACACATCAGGTCGCACGGTGCCACACGCGCCAGTTCCAAGATTGTACAAATATCTAAACAGTGGCACACTTGAATAAAAATTGTCCACGTATAAGTGGTACCCCATATGGAACAGGGATGGCACCAAGTTCCAAACTATCTTGCCACCACTCCCCATGTAGTCTGGGCATCCGGGGGGCTCCATGTGGCTATCTTTTCCCTTGTAAATCCAAAACTTATATGTATAGCCTGTTGCCCTCTCACAGGTCTTATACATCTTGACCCCATATCTGGCACACATGCTGGGGAGAAATGGTTTGAATGCAAGGCGGCCAGATAAATTAATGAGAGACTCATCAACGCAGATTATTTGCTGGCAAGTATAGACATCTGCAAATTTTTGGTTAAGGTGATTTACAAGGGGCTGAATTTTGTGGAGCCGGTCAAATTCAGGGTCACCCCGAGGACGACAGAGTGTATTGTCGTTGAAATGCATAAAACACATTATACTCTCATATCTATGCCTGCCCATGGCAGCAGAGAACACGGGCATATGATGATTTGGGTCTGTGGACTAATACAATTCATTTTTTTTAGTAATGCCCATGTTGAGGGTTAGGCCCAAAAAAAATGTAAATTTGGAAATCGTAATGGGTTTCCATGCGAATGGTCTGACAAGGTTTGAATTTGGGTTGGCGGCGATAAATTGTTGTGCATATAAAATGATTTTGATCCATGATATTCCGAGAAAAACAGCTCCAAAAAAATCAAGGGGAGTAGTTAAATTTGCTGCTTCCACCTAAATTTCAGGTTGGGCAGTGGAGGGGGAAGTAGGGGTGCTTCAGAATTTGTGGGCTGCCAATCGGGATTTGCAAGCACATCCAGTAGGATACTAGGGGCTCTACGGGCCTGTGTGCGAATTCTTGGTGGTTGCCAGACAATACTTGTGCTCGCCATCGCACCAACTTGTACTGCACGTATGGAACTCGCCACGTTACCAAGTGATACTGCAGTGCTGGTATGTGAAAGACCAGGATGTACTAGGTCAGTAGTGCTCTCCAGTTCACCAAAAGGTAGCGCGGCACTAGTACTGGCACTCTGCTGCCTATGAGAGTCATCAAAATTTACCGGCAAGTGCTAACAGAGATCAGGCCTGATTCTGCCAACACTGCGGTTTTGTGTGCAATGTATCAAGTGACAGTAACCTGCTGAAGCTGCACTTGCTGGAGGAGGGGGGGGGGGGGGTAAGCGTAGGGGCTAATCGCAGGTGCTGGCAGGTGCCAGGGCTGATCCCGCTAACACGGTGTTTGGGGTTGCTATACTAATGTGAACGCTGGTATAGTGCTGATCTGATCAAAGATATTGATCCGTTCAGACACTATACTAGCCATGGAGGTTTATTGTGTATAAGCGTGTTCCTGGCAATCAAGGGGTTAAACGTGCTTACTGGTGTACCGACGGTCAATCTGACGCTATCTGGGAGGGGCGTGAAAACCACGGGAGCGCAAAGCGCTTATATATGTGATTTTGCGCACCCGTGCCGCCCTGTACCAGTATTTCTGCTACAGGGCGGTCAGGAAGCGGTTTGTGTTACGGCGCTGCGTTACTTTAACTGACAATTGTGCGGTCATGCAACGCTGCACCAAAAAGAAATATACGTTGTTTTTTTTTTTTCCCCACGAATTGAGTCTTCTTTCGATGGTATTTGATCGCCTGTGTGTTTTCTATTTTTGTGCTGTTAAAAAAAAAAGTCTGACAATTTTGAGAAAAAAAAAACAATATTTTGGACCTTTTGCTATAAAACATGTCCAGTAAAAAAATTTAAAAATCATATTTCGTCATAATTTTAGGCCAAAATGTATTCTGCGACATGTCTTTGCTAAAGAAACATCCCAATACGTGCAAATGAATTGGTTTACGTGAAAGTTGTAGCGTCTCCAAATGGCGGTATATATACTGGAATTTTTTTTTTTTATTAATAATAAATGGCGGCGATCAGCGACTTATAGTGGGACTGCGGCGGACATTCTGACACTGGGGGAACTGACTTTTGGTCATTGACATCCCCAGTGACACCAATACAGTGATCAGTGCCCCCCCCCCAAAAAAAAAACAACACTGAACTAATGGCACTGAGAAGGAAGAGGATTAACATTTGGAGGCAATCAAAGGGTTAACTGTGTGAGGGGAGTGTTTTACTATGGGGCGGGGGGTGTGTACTTCACAGTAACACACTGATCCGGAAAGCTGAACTCAGCTATCTGGATCAGTGTGCTCAAACTGACAGGGAGGAGAGCTGCAGTGTAAACACTGCAGCCGTCCTCCCTGTCAGTGTTTGCCAGTAATCGCTATGCTCCGGCAGGTAATCACCGGCCGGGACCCGGTGATTGACACCTGCGGCCGCGATCGGCAATGCGGGCGCGCGCCCCCTACCTGAAATGCGAAATCATGTGTAAATAAACATGATTTTGCGCAGTTGTGCCGCCCTGCCGCAGTAGATGTACTGTGGCTGGTCAGCAACCGGTTTGCAATTTCAGTGTTGCCAAAAAAAAAAAAAAAAAGACGTGTTTAAATAAATGTCTTAAACTAAGGTTTAGACAAACTTCTGCACTCTAGCTGTTGCAGAACTACAAGTCCCATCAAGCCTCTAAGTCATGTTGCTTGTCAGAGTTTTCAAGGTACTCTTAGTTTTGCAACAGCTGGGGGGCTCTGGTTCACAGTAAAACTTACCTTAAGATCCCAAATCTTAATCTGAGAATCCATTGTTCCAGTGCCAAAAATAAGCCCATCAGGATGAAACTGAGCACAGGTTAGAGCTGTAAATAAAGAGTTGGAATTAATATACAAGTAGATTCAAAGACAGGCAAAAATGGGCATTGTAATTAGAAAAGGCTTACCACAACCTGATGTTTCATCTGTCACTTTGGTAAGGACACGCCCTGCATGGATATCGGAAAAAGCCCAATACTGAAAAAAAGAAAAATGCATTTAAAAAAAGTCCAAAGGCAAACACCAAAAAATTAATGGCTCAACTTTTTTTTTTTTTAAATCAACTTCATACAGAGAGGAGGGACACTGACAATTGTGCATGCAGCATTTTGGCTAAAGTAGGAACTGTGGTGGGCTCACGTGTGAATTTCCACATATGAAGTATTAGATTTGTATTAAGCTAACTTTCGAGAAATACTTTGTTCTTTTACATTTTTTGAATTGACAAAAAAGTAATTTTTTTTTTTACCTGGTCATCAGAGCAACTCAACAAATAATCCCCAGTTGCATGAAGACTTAGTCCAGTCACAGCACCCTCATGAGCTCTCAAAACCTGAATGCAGGAGGCCTCTGGCACGGACCAAACACGTATTGTAGAATCAGGAGATGCAGAAAATACAAGATCCTAAAAAAATATTAACAAATTATACACATTCCATAAGCTTTCAGTACTGCAGCTGAGGTCCTATCACTGCTCTATCAAGTCATCATCAACTGTCGTAGTAAACATGAAATCATTATAGATTAGTTTTAATGTCTTGGTTGAGATTAAATTACATAAGCAAATTTTACACTTAAAGGATGGCCAGAAGTATAAGCTCAGTTATGTGACCGAGGGCAAAATATCTGCTCATGCTCACAATAATACACAGAAATGAATCTCATCAACAAGCTATGCTTAAATCACTCTCGTTGCTAGCAATTGCTATTGGTTCCCATGTGTTTGTCATTGGTCCATCACAAGTATTGCTCTTTTTAAGCCTGGATCAGGTCATTCATATCTTTATACCAGAATACACATTAACTATTCTATATTGGACAATTCGCTATTACATATGACGCAATGCAACAAGCTGCAGGGTTACGGATTTTCTTAACTCCTCTGTTGACAAAGCAACATTGCAAGCTCACTGCACTATGTGTGCAATTTAAAAGAGAAGTATAGCTTTAAAAAAAAAAAAAAACAATATTACTCACCTAGATGGTTGCATCATCAATCCCAGATGCAGCTGTCCCCCGCTGGCTCCAATACTGAGAACAGAGCGATCAAACACCGCAAGTCAGCAGAGTCGGTAACTGCCCCTTCAGTGCTCACTGAAACACTGGGAAGTGAAAGGGGCAGGGGGCGGTTGGCTCAGGCTCTCAACAGCTCACTGACAGGCTGAGCCAGCTGCTGTTCCAGGCATCTGGGTGGATCCCAACTTTAAAGTCAGGATCATTCCTAAGCCTGGACAGGCTGAGTGATGTCAGCTGAAAACTGGTCATAGGAGTGCAGATTGAATTAAGAAATAGTCAAAGGATTATGGGACTTTGCTGCCATCAACTGGCTGGGGTAGTCCAGAGACCGACTACAAAGAATGAAAAAAGGATGCACCGCGAAGTGCATTATCCCAAGGGAGTTTATTTAAATGTGGATAAAAAACATATATACTCTCCCAAACAGTGATATGGAAATAGTTGTCCACTGACATAGTGGTGGGTAAGACCCAGATAAATGCAAAACGCTAAAGAGACGCTGTCTGGGAGTCCACGGTGGCTTATGCGTTTCAAGGACAAGCCCTCTTCCTCAGAGCCCTCTTTCAAAGGGCACATACACTATATTGCCAAAATATTGGGACGCCTGCCTTTACACAGACATGATCTTTAATGGCATCCCAGTCTTAGTCCGTAGGGTTCAATATTGAGTTGGCCCACCCTTTGCAGCTATAACAACTTCAACTCTTCTAGGAAGGCTGTTCGCAAGGTTTAGGAGTGTCTATGGGAATGTTTTACCATTCTTGCAGAAGAGCATTTGTGAGGTCAGGCACTGATGTCAGATGAGTAGGCCTGGTTTAATTTCTCCACTCTAATTCATCCCAAAGATGTTTTGTCAGGTTGAGGTCAGGACTTTGTGCAGGCCAGTCAAGTTCCTCCACCCCAAACTAACTCATCCATGTCTTTA